GAACCGGGGCCCTCTGGCGTCCCAAGCCAGCTCTTAACCAACGCACCACTTGGCTGGCCCTCAGCACATTCTTATAGAGAGAGATTGAGAAAGAAAGAGAAAGTAGTTAAAATAGTGCCCACGGTTCTGATAGCCACTCAGTCATCTTAATGTAAGTGCAGGTGGGGAGACATGAATCAGGGGTTCACTGGGCCTCTGTAGGGTGAGCATCTTGTGCTGGATGAAATCCCAGTGTTGAAATATTTCTCTTTTTTTTGTGCTACATGATACTAAACTCAAGATAATTAATTCTTCTGGTACTAAGCTGGAGAACTCATAATCTCCTCCAGGGCTGGAGGATAACCCAGCTGTGATGGATTTACTGAGTAAACTTTTGTATGAGTGTTCAGGGTTGTATAAACAGACCGTGTATTCTGTATTTTATGGGTGATTTAAGGTGGGAGGACTTTGTTCAACTTTCATGTACTACACATGAATGTCATGCAAAATAATACCTTACCTTAACTGACTTCTAATTCAGCTGTTTATTTATTTTTAAATTTTATCTGTAAATATTTCAGTGTATATGTTGAAAAAAGACTCCTCAAAAATAAAGACTTAACTATACTATTACCACATTTAAATAATGAATAAGTTCTTCATATTAGATATGGAGTCAATATTCAAATTTCCCAATTGTCATATGTATATGTGTATGTGTCTGCATACACACATATGAGTTTGTGTGTGTGTGTGTGTGTGTGTGTGTGTGTGTGTGTGTGTATTTATATAGAGAGAGAATTTTAAAAACTTGATTCAGATCAGGATCCAAATAAAGTCTCTATATTGCAATAGGCTGATACAACTTTTAAAATTCTTAAATACTTTCAATCAGTAGTTTTGCAACGGGGTGAATTTTTGACCTAGCACTGACTCTGTAACTAACCGTTGGTTCAAGTGTGGCTCCACTCTCCCTCCCTATATGCTGAGGTGGCCACCGGCCCAGAGAGACCGTCTCTGCATGGGTACTTATCTGTTCCCTTTGCTCATTGTCCCTCTCAGAAATACCCATTTCCTGATCTTTTGTCTTTTCATTCTTTAATTAAAATAAGACCTTTTGTGATTCTTATTTAAATATTGGAATACCTAATATTGTGATAACTATGTATGATTCAGGTGGGCACTGGAATTATTGAGGGGATCACTTTGTAAATTATATAAATGTCTAAGCACTATGCTGTACACCTGTAACTAATATAATACCGAATGTCAACTGTGATTGCGAATGTCAACTGTAATTGAAAACAAAAATTGAATTCCAACCTGAAGGGACAAGTTCAGCTGGCAGCAATCTCAACTTCAGATCTTTACCCAAGAAGCTTTGTGTATTTGCTTTTCCTGGACCAGGCAGGTAGAACATTGTGTTTTTGATGAAGTAAGAGTTTGCAGTTTAGCTTAACTAGAAATAACCCGGATTTTATTTTGGAATTAGGACAAAACATACCCTGCCAACCACACTATGATGTAGCTTTGTGGTTTTTATGCTTGCTGGCCTTGCGAGGAGGCAGATAGAGCATACATGGTAAGGCAATATTTCCTGGCTAATAATAGGTACAGGATGTTTTGAGACAGAGCTCCTGCTGTCACAAGCCTCTCTGTGCAAATAACTGAGGTTTATGCAGTTGGCACAGGTGGTACTTAAGCTCCTAAGAGCCTACTAAATACATCCCTGAGTGGACTGTCCCTCAGTGGACTGTTCCTCAGTGGACTGTACGGTGAGCTGGGGAAACCTGAAGTAGTAAAGGCAGGAAGGCAATGGTGTTCCATCTGCAGGAAGGACCTTTCAAATATAGGGACCTCTTGTGATAAGATTGATATTGTTAGGCGACCCATTGCACAGCATATGCTGATGTTTACTTTGGATTAAATGCTATAGCATTGCATGCTCACTCATACCTTTTTACCCTTTTGTTTTGCAGATTCCCTACAGAGTCCTTCCTGTTGGCCATTTCATACATCTCCTCTACCATCAACCTTCTCTGCTTCTCCCAAATAAGGTGCACCCTCCCCCTGGCCCCTACACCCTTGTTCCCTGGTGCACTTACACCTAATTGATTCCTCCATTACAAGTACATTCCATGTTGTTGTGTTGGTTTTTTTTTTTGCAAGACCACCTCCACCACTGCCCCTTGAACTCCCTAAGCTTAATGCCTGGCATACAAGGCACAGTTTGTGTGGTGATTTGAGGAGGTCAACCTGCTTTGGCTACATTGCGGGGCTTGTGAGACGGAAGAGGTGTGTTCTTGGGGAAACTTGTCTCTAGAAACATGAGACGTGGAAAATAGTTAAATAACAGTATACAGTGGAAGGCAAGGAATATCAGAGGAGGCAGACAGGACGGCCCAACCATTTCACCGTGTTAATTATACTGCTTAATCCTGAACTATACCATCCTTTACAGTTTGTCAAAGATCTCACATGTGTTCTCTCATGCTACGAACAGGACATCGTTATCCTCTGTTTTGTAAATGACAAACTATGGCTTAGAGGAGTAAAATGACATGCTGGTAATGGCAGAACCAGGACTGGAACCAGTGTTCGGATTCTAAATGTAATGTCCTTTCTACTCTGTCATCTGTCTCAGGTTGGTAACCTGGGGCCTGGCAAGAGGAAGGAACTCACCTGCTCCCACAGAGGTAATTAAGAGTTTTAGGCACTGCTGACAATGCCGAGCACTCTAGGTAGCCAATGAGTGGCCAGGGAAAAACAGGGAAACAGCTAACATTGAGCAGTTACTATGTTTAATGGAAGTAGAAAGCAACAACATGTGAGCCACATATGGAATTTTAAATTTTACAATAATCACATTAAAAAGTAAAAACAAACAAATTAAATTAATTTTGATCATTTATTTAACCCAATGCAGTAATACTTTGGTTTGCGAGTGTAATTCGTTCCAGAAACAAACTACTCGTATTGCAACACATCACTCGTTTACCATGTTAAAATTTATTAGAAATGTTTGCTCGTCTTGCGGAACACTCACAAACCAAATTACTCACAATCCAAGGTTTTACTGTATATCCAAAATATTATTTACTCTATTACGGAATCAACATAAAAATTATTAATCCAAGATCTTACATTCTTTTTTTCCACACGAAGTCTTCACATTCTGGTGTGTTTTTTACAGGTATATATAGCACATCTCAGTATGGAGTCGCCACTTTTGTAGGGCTTGATAGATGCATGTGGCCAGTGGCTACTGTATTGGGCAGTACCGTTCTACAGTTCTAAGCAGTTTACGTTTCATGTGTTTCAACAATCACATGAAGAGTTGTTTACAGCATTACCTAATAGCTGAGGAAATGAAGCCCCGAGAGGTTATGCAACTTGACTTTGGTACACCAAGCTGGAAAGTGACAGAGCTGGATTCTGACCCAGGTCTGTCCCACCGCTTCCCACTCTGGTGGCCTGCCAGTCCTCTAGGAAAAGAGGAAAGGAGCTGTGCTTGATTTGGACCTGGAAGGATGGTTGAATTGAATTGGTGGAAATGAACAGTAGCCTTGATATGGTGATAGTACCCCTGAGGGTGTTGATAGTAACCTGTGTGGTGGGAAAAAGGGCCCAAGGGCAAAGCAGGGGTAGCCAATTTCCCAACCAGAGTTGTGTATGCTTCTGGGAGGTAGCGGAGAGATCATAAGGCAGTACAGGGAAACTTTGTTTTCAAATGCATATGCCAAAGTTCAGGAAGTCCTTTCACAAGGCCTGAGAGCCTCTTCCTGAGCCTCTCTCATGGGACGAGACCATTGACAACGCCTTCCTTTTAGAAGTTATGTAACACACAGTGCTTAGCTAGCCACGCTGGGTTGTGAGGTGCTGAGTAAATATGTTTGCCCTCCTTGATGCTCAGGCAGAAGATCCTGTGGAGGGGGCCAGTTTTATCCCTTTCCAGGAGGACTGTGATAGGTTCTCTAATGGAGGACAAACTGGGTAGGAGGGCCCTGTTCCTGCCCAAATTGGTTCGAAGGTTGTTGTTATTTTTTTTCTCCCACAAACATTATATTGCAATAGCAATAAAGATGCCTTTTAAAATCCAGGCATCCTGACATATTACTGTTTATTTTACTATGTTGCCTTGCAATTGTCCATTTAAGGCAAAAAAGGTTTTAATATATTTATAATTTTAGTGTGGGTGAAGTGTATTTTGTTTCTCCCCTTATCATAGACATTTTTCCAACTTTACGGTGCATGCAGTATGTTAATAGCTTCAGAGGATTCCACTGAATTCTGTATCACAATTTATTTGTTCTCATGGCTAGATATTTGAGGTGTTTCAAATTATCTTGACATTGTATTTGATGCTATAGTCTGCAACCTTATACTTATGTTTCTTTTCTATCTTTTACAATTAGATTATAAAAATTATAAATTTATAATTAAAATTATATATTATTCATAAATGTAATTATAAATGTAAAACTATTTCTTTTGAAGAAATACCCCAGCTTTTGAATTCTAGGCCAGAAAGCTACAAATATTTTAAAATGCGTTGGTTGTTCTGGGATATTACTTGCATTTTTTTGAGGTATTCCTTCTTTTTTTTTTTTCCTCCATTTTTATTGACAAGTATTTGACATACAGCACTACGGAAGCTTAGGGTATATAGCATAAGCTGTTTTCCCAGCAATGGGTGATATGTGAGCACATCAGTTTTGCCACAAAATCACCAGCGTTGGGTATGTAAATTCACTTTAAAGTTTTGTTAAATAATGTGCCAAGTGGTTATATGTACTTCTCCACATGCCTCCTAGAACACCACTGATGTGACTGACTGGTTGCAGGTGGGACAGGTGAGGCCACCGTCAGTGTAGGGCCACCTTAGAAGAAGGTTGGTTAAACAGTTTTCCTTTGCAGACTGAAGGTGAAGCCACACCAAAATACCCACCACCTTCAAATCTGAACACGGCACTTCCCCGAAGTCCAGCCTCACCTTTTACAGCACACAGAGCAGGACAGAGCTCTATTCCCCTGTACATGACCTTCCTGTTTCCTTCCACACCCCTAATTACACACAAATCTGCCCTAGGCATTGGAGTCAGAGAGATGTATGATGCTGGGCACATTATTTCATCCTCACTTGTTTTCATCTTAAAATGGGAATGACAGTGGCATCTCCCTATAGGTTGCTGGCAGGATTAAATGTGTTCATATTTGAAAAGTACTAAGAACAGTGCCTGGCACATAACTAGTACTCAGTAAATGTTGTACATGTGGGTTTGAATCTCAGTTCCAACACTTTCTAGATGCCTACTTTGGACAAATCACCTCACCTTTCTTGCCTTGAGCTTCCTCATCTGTAAAATGGGATTATAGCACCTGCTTCACAGAGGTGTTAGGGGGTTTCTATACGATAATGTAAATAGAGCATTTAGCACAGGGCCCTGTGCATAAAAGGCCCTCCATAAAAGCAACCAAAAGGAAAACTTTGTTTTTTTGTTTTAATTTCTGCTATGCAGAAGGGAGAGCTTTGCCCCTTATATTGATCTAAGCAGCGATACTGTTGTAATTCGCTCTTGGATTTTGACCATGTTGTTGGTATAGTGCATTTTTTATGTCCACATTGTAGGTTTGGGCCATCCTGAATCAACTGAGAGGCAAATCAACATTTTCATGTCCCTAAAGCTTTTAACAAGTTTTTAACAAAATCTTGTTTCTGAGGTTTGCGAGTGCATAATTTCACAGAGAGAAGGTGTTACTTCATATACTTGTTACTTTAGTGGCTTCCTCCCCACAGTGGGCATCAAAAGAAACTGTTAGGTTGATGGAAGGTATCAGTGTTTCTTCATGCTCAGTGATACAGATCAAATTTGTCTGGGATGATAAGGTAAAAACAACATTCTTTAGGAACTGCAAAGAAATGACCTGAGAGTCACTTGAGCACAGCTCATGCTATCCCTCCCTCCTGTCTGTCTAAGTCCTTTTCATCTTCTTGTTTGAGTTGAGATGTCTCCCCAGGTATCCTCCCCATACCATCCACACTGGGTAGCTGGACTCTCCCCACTGTAACACACTCTGAAGCTGTGATTCCCTTACCTGTCTCTCTCCCTCTGGAGGCAGAGACCTGCCTTAATCACCCCTGCATCCTCGTTGCCTATCGTTGGGCCAGAACAACATAGCACTCCATGAGTATTTGTTGGCTGAATGGATGCACTTACAAAAATCTGCCTGCGATGCTAGAAGGTGCGTGTATAATAATGACAAGTGGATCTGCAAAGTGAGGCAAGTGGAAAGTCAGTGCTTTTTTTCTGCCTGGGCTGAGGAAAAATGAATGCAATAATATTTGTTTGGAAAATGCATAGGAGTTTGCTTAGCCTTGTACTCTGCGAGACATCAGTTGCTCCCTTATCCTAGCTGTTTCTCCCTGCTAAGCAGCTCCCTCTTTCAACATATCACCAACTCCCACCTACCCTTGCCAAGGATTTGGGATGAGGATAGCTCAGTGGTGTGTTCATGTCCAATTTGTAGCCTTCCTGTTTCCTGGACAATATCTGGACTCTGGGCATACCACAGAAAGGATGAATGTTTCTTTCTTCAATCCTCATGCCCAGTGGTTTAGAGAAGGGCCAGGGCCCCATTGGCTTTCCTTAGATGACAGTAATTGGTGGAATGGGGTACTAGGCAGTTGTAGGGATAATCTTGGTGTTAAATGAGCTCTGCTGTTCAAATGTTGGCTTTGGGGCCTTCTACTTTGTCATTGTTCATCTGGGAAGTCCAATCTAACCTAATAGTATTCTTTACGGAGCTCCTATTATATGCTGGATAATGTAGTGGGAGTTTCACAAATATCAACTCAAGTTCATATTTTCAGGACCCATGTGAGTCCCCTCTATCTTCTGAGAAACCTGACCGCATACTGAAGCCAGCCATATGACACATGATAGAAGGAGAATTTGAGAGGACACCAAGAAAGCTGAGTTCCACTTTGACTGTATCACAAACCAATGATGTGGCCTTCTCTATTCCAGTGGACCTGAGTTTTCTCATCTATAAAAAATGGAATGGGAGTGTTTGATCAGATGCTTTCTAAATTCCCTTCTGTTTCATATCCTCAACATATCTACTCCAGTCCCACCTATTCTCTTCTTTGCCTGAGTTCCTTTTGAATTGCACATCAGAATATAGTTTAGTAGCACTGTGTGGTTTGAGGGAGTCTTATCTTCCAGTGACAAAGACCTTATCTTGTTGTCTTGAATGCTTCCTAACCCTGGGCCTTCCATGTTGGTGAAGTATGAAGCCGTTACCCTTGTGTGAGTTTCTGAAACATTTTGGGTACATATATTTATCCTGGGACAGTTATTTCCATGCCTAGATCATCAGTCTTTCTTATATTAAAAACTGAGATTAGTTGTAATGGCTACTTTTAAGTACTTGCACTTTAAATGTGATTAAGTTCTACTTATCCATTATTTTCCCTTTTATTATTAGTGCATTTTGTGTCCTAAGACATCTTTGTCTACTGCAATTTCATGAAGATATTCTTCTAAATTTTCTTCTAGAAGCATTATAGTTGGACCTTTCACATATAGGTCTAGGATCCACCTTAAATTAATTGTATAGCAAGAGTGAAATACAGGTAAAGCTTCTTTTTTTTTTTTTGCATAGATATCCAGACACTAGAAAAAGTTATTAAGAA